GCCACTCCTCAGAAGGAAGTTTGGGCAATCCTACTTCCGTAGTGATAACTGCCTAGGAAACCCAAGGAGGGGTCGCTACGAGTCAGGGCCGACTCAATGGCACAACAACATATATTACACATACATACACACAGCATACACATGTTGTTGTTATGTGCCCTCGAGTCAGACCCGACTCCTAGCGATTCTTCCTTGGGTTTCGGAGGCAGTATCACCACGGCAGTAGATTGCCCAACCTTCCTTCCGAGGAGTGGCTGGTGGGTTTGAACCTCCAGGCTTCTGGTTAGCAGTCAAGTGCCTTAGGCACTACGCTGTGATCCTCTGTGAGCCTTCAAGCTATTAGTGACATTAGCATAATAGCTTTGTTCAAAATGAAACCGTTTCAAATTGAAATAAAAATTCAAAATCTACTTTGTTCAGATTGAAACAGTTTCCTGTGAGATGTTGTAAGGACCTTGATTAAAAGCTAGACCCTCATTTCTGGAAGACAGTTGAGGAATATACAGTAAAATACTTCTTTTATAAAAAATAGAATCTTCTCATATCTATTGATTTATTATTTTTTTCACTTGACATTTAAATGAGATGATTTTTTGAAAAGAAATAAGCCTCTTATCACAAAGCCCTTATCACAGAGTTTTCTTTTCAAATCAGATTGAAACAGTAATTTTCTGTTACAGTTAAAGGAAATATTTGAATGCTGAAATTTGATTGGTGGTTGCAAAAACAGCATGGAGGCCCCATGTTCTGACCTCCTCTAATCCCACAAGAGGAAGACAGGGTTACCAGCAGTAACCCAAGGTCTATTACTGCAAGGCCAGACATGCTGCTTCCCTCCAGCCCTTTCTCCAACCATTCCTCCCAGAGCACCCACCACCTCTCTCCTGGGTTTGATAATTTGCTGCAGTGGCCACACACAACTCACAGATTACAAGATTTATTAGGGAAGCACCAAGCTACAATTTGCACTCAGGAAAAATGCTCAGTCTCTCTCTCTCCAGCCCACCGTCCCTCAGCCAGCAGTCTCTCACAGTCTCTTTCCCAGCAGTGCTGGTCCCTTGGTGTCTCACTCAGCAATGTGTGTCTCTTGCGTCTCTTTCCCAGCAACGCGTGTCTCAGGAGCCCGTGTCTCTTTCAGCAGCATGTCTTCCTCAACCAGCAGTCAGAGAGAGTTCTGCCTCTAGGAGGCCTCCTTTTGAGCCCGGCAGGGTGGTCAAACTAGCCAATCATAGCATCAGAGCTCTAAGCACCTGAGAGAGAGTGGGCACCTCACAGAACATTGTATTGTGCCACTACCAACAGAAATACTCCAGGTGGACACCTTCAGCAATCAGGAGCTCCTCAGTTGCTCATAGCAAATCCCACCTTGGAGTTTACAAAGACTTATGGGTAGAAAAGCCACACTAAGTAATTTACTACACTGCCGTGGTCCATTTTTTTTTTTTCTTAAGGGAAATTAGTTATTTTTATCTCTTTTCTCTAATTTGAAAAGAATACTATTCCTAAGTCCATTTCCTGGGAGTGATGATAATTTTATGATTTGTTGTTGTTGTTGTTATGTGCCATCGAGTCAAACCCGACTCATAGCGACCCCTCCTTGGGTTTCCGAGGCAGTATCACTACGGAAGTAGGATTGCCCAACCTTCCTTATGATTTAGGGGACATTTTTGTAGTGTACTCAATGAGAGCTAATTGAGGCTTAAAATGTATGTAATCAAAATGATAAATTTTAATATTTATCAGAATGCTTCAATGAAGTGGTTAATCTATATAGAAAGTCTTTTTAGCTTCTGCGTCTACCCAGTGCAGTGACTTTAGGATTTTGTATTCTACTTAGTTTCTGGAACCTTCATCAAAAGTACTGTTGTCGTCTGTGTGTAAACCTTTATTTAACTCTAACTGTGAAATGAGAGAAGCTGCAGAAGACCATCAGAAGCTTAACAGTAAAGAAGGCTAAAATAAATTTTGTAGGCTGCTAAATAATATTTTTTGAAAGATACTTCTATAGTTTGAATATTGAGGAAATCTTATTCCTCATACTGACTTGCTTTTTTGGGAAATAGTTTAACTCCTGAAGAAAAAGATGCTTATTACTAATTTAATGCAATAGACCTATCTTTGAAATTTGGTTTCTTGTTTAAAAAATTTCTTTTAAACAGGAGTACAGTCATGTGTAACATAACGTCCGTTTGGTGATATCTAGTCACATATGTCCATGGTCCCCAACCCCCATAAAGCTTATTACATTAAAAATTTGAGGTGTATACAATGGTTTGTAATAACAAACAGGACTACTTTGTGACATACATAAAAACATTATTAAAATGATTGTTGTTATGTTAAAGATATTAGTGTTAGACGGAAGTGTCTCTTTTTGGTTTTTATGCATAGAAAGGTACATTGTACACTATATACTGAGATAGTCATTTGACTCCACTTAGGTACAAATTCAATTTAAAAATCAATTTAAGAATCATTTGTAATCTGGGGATGGACTGTATATAATATGGTGTTTGCACAAAATCAAAATCACATAACATCCTATTTCACAGAATATAGCATGGATGTTAAGTGATGCATGACTGTATCTTATTACTTGTCTTTCTTCTTTGAGTTTACATTGTACATGGAGAATCTTTCTAAATTATGGTTTTATAAAAGTTAATTGTATGTTGGATTCACAAGTGTGGAAACTTGTGACAACTCAGAGAGAGAGAGGGAGCGCGAGTATGAGCATGAGCATGAGTTGTCAGGCCTCTAAATTTGCAACAAAAGCCTGTGTTTTGAAACAGATGCATATCTGACTTGTTTGGATTAGAATCTGAGGTTTAGTGAATGTAACAAATGAATAACAAATTTTACTTAACTGAGCTAAATAAGAAGGAGCTCTGGTGGTGTAGTGCCTAAGACATTTGACTGCTAACCAGAAGGTTGATGGTTCAAACCCACCAGCCACTATGCAGAAGGAAGACTGGGCAATCTGCTTCTGTAAAGATATTTACCACCTTGGAAACCCAAAGGGGGTTGCTGTGAGTCATAATTGACTTAATCACAGTGAGTTTGGTTTGGTTTGTTTGGAGCTAAATAATAGTTCTTTAGTTGAAATCATGAGTTAAAATATGAATGCATACCATACCCTTCTGTTTAATGGTTTTATCTTTTGTACTGATCAGCAATTTAAAATGATAGCAGGTATATAATAAATAAAGATTCAGTAGAATTAAGTGTGAATAATGGATCCTGGAGATTTATTAATTTTTGGCTTGTGATAGAGTATTAGAAGGTTCCACTCACTAGAAAGTAAATAAAGTAAGACTATTGTTTAAGGATGCCTCTGAGTTAATGAAAAATGAAGGGGGCAGTCTGCAGATCTCTGATACTCTTTTATACATGGCTTTTGAGAGAAACAAATTGACATTGAAGTGATTGTTGCTCATGTTACTAGGTGCTGTTGAGTCACTTCTGACTCACAGTGACCTATGTACAAGAGTACAGAGCACTGCCTGGTTCTGCACCATCCTCACATGTTTGAGTTGATGCTGCCAGTGTGTCAACCCATCTCATTAAAGGTCCCTCTCTTTTTCATTATCTCCTACCTTACCAAGCATGATATCCTTCTCCAGTGACTGGTCCCTCCTGATAACATGTCCAAAGTACATGAGATGAAGTCTCACTGTCCTCGCTTCTAAGGAGCATTCTGAATGTACTTTTTCTAAGACAAATCTGTTTGTTCTTCTGGCCATTCATGGTATATTTAATATTCTTTGCCAACACCATAGGAGCTCTGATAGCATGTGGCTAAGGCACTTGACTGCTAACCAGAAGGCTGGCCAGCCACTCCTCGGAAGGAAGATGGGGCAATCTACTTCCGTAGTGATACTGCCTTGGAAACCCAAGGAGGGGTTACTATGATTCGGTCCAACTCGAAGGCACATAACAAATAACAAAGCCAACACCATAATTCAAAAGCATCAATTCTACTTTGGTCTTTTTTAATTCA